ATTGCCTTAAAGACTGTTCTAACCCGGATATTTCATGAATCAAGGTTTTTAAACAATTTATCATATCACTGATTGATTCCTTTTGGCCTCCATTGCACCGGAATTGAAACTTTACGCGTCACTTGTCGACAGGTTTAATGCGGGAAGGCAGTCCAATCTAATTCCGCATATAAAGAATTAACAGTAACGTTTCTTTCGCCGTCCTCTTTTTCGGTTTCTGACCATCAGCGTGAGATTGTGGCATAATGCAAATTTTGAAGTTTTTTGGGAGCTCCCTTTGAGGTTTTAGTGATCATTTCTTATCCGGTCGAAATGTTTGAACATCCACCTCACACATTCCTGCTAACTTCGTGCCTATTGAGTTTGGCACCGATGTGTTTCGCAGTGCGACGATGATGACCAACCCAATGAACACTGATAAACAACGGTCATTCGGTTTTTACTCCAAACTGATTACACCCGTAACTGCATTCCCGTTTTCAGGAACTGCTTCCAGTTATTACCAACACTCTTCGTTGGTATATCTGAGCGAACTTCAAGCCTGGAACGTTGTAATGCCGGTGTCAAGGGCTGACACCTAAGCGTGCGCTAGAGCGATGCGCCTATCTGCTGTGCTATTCAGTCAAAACGGTCGCTCCTTAAGCGTCTACTCTGTGAGAAGAATGAGTTTAGACTCTGAAGCCTATTTATTCTAATAGTGCTCAAACTGGTGAAAACACCTCGTTAACCAGCGTCAGACCGTCATGTCTTTTTCTAGGCATGTTGACCGTGGCTAGATGCGAAACTCTGTGCGGTCTAACATACTTCACAGTGACATCAGGATCTTACTGTTATTTCTTATTAGGTAAAAATGCTAGACGCAATGCGTATGCATAGTTGGATTGTTTACTGTGTTGACAACACGGGTCTAACCTCTAACGAGTATGAAAACAGGTGTTTGTTCATCAGCTCAGTACATGATTCGACCAACTGCACAAAAATTCCCTGAACTCACAGCTCGGTTAAGTTGGGCTGTCAGGTGATTTCACTGCGCGCTTTGGAAAAATGAGCGCATTGGAAGCTTGTTTGGGCGGTTGGTATGCGTTGCCCTGCCACCGAACAAACAACGGTGGTCGATTTCTTCAGTTCTGCGCAGACAGCCCGTCCAGCATCAACAACATTTATAACAAAAAATTGATCCATGGTTCTTTTAGCGTCAGATTGCCCAGGTCGGTGCGGGTGAATTTTCCTGAGGGATTTACAACCGGAGCATGTCCCGCAAGGCGGCGTGTTAAAACCTCGAGCCATTACGAGCCAGTGTCCAGTTCAGTGGGTCATACGCATGGTAGCCGAAGCATTACGATAACTAGCAGCCCACAAACGCAATAATTTGGACGCAAGCTTAGGAGAACCGAAAGTTTGGTGAACTGAACTCAGTTGACATCTATAGCTTGTAATTATTTGTGAGTAGTGCGGTGGGATAAATATTATTAGTAAGTTGAGTTCTCTATGCTCAAGAAGTCGATAACATGTTCTGGACAACTGCAAACTCGAAATTCCCAGGGAAGACATGGTTTGGTAGATGCTTGGTTCAAATAGATAAAATTCCTTCAACAGTTTTATTCACTCTAGCTCATCAAGGAAGCACCGGAAAAAGCTCTGCACACAAATTCATTTTTACACGATCCGTGTGATAGAGTAATCAACTGTACGAAATGCATCAGTCTCCAATGATTTTTTAATGTTATTATATTCATCCTAACGTTTTAATTACTGGTTAGTTCGTAAGACACATCGCTGATATTCATCATTCTAAAGTACAGAAAAATAAGATGACAGACGGGCAGTCACATGAATCACAGCAAACGGAGCTCGTACTTACCTCTAAGCTATCCACAAACAGCAGGAGAATTCGCCCCAAAGATCGCTGTGCTGATCCATATGTGTCTTCCGTGTAGGAGGCTAAGGTGAGACAGGCCAATACCTCAATGGTCCAAACTACTGCCTGCCCGCTGATGAACAGACTTGAGTCAGCGTCAATACAATTGAATCCAGCAAACAGTTGCGCGGTAACCGAATACGGTACTTCCATGTTGACAGCTTGGAAACCAGGAAGTCGACGAACTACGTGAGAGACCTGGATGAGTACACGTAAGAGACATAATGGCATAAGACGAAACTGTTAAATCCAGGGCAGGATGAATTAATACAAATCGAAACAAACAAGAGAGCTCAGAGACTTTTGAGTTGGTTTCGGTGTTGTTGTAGCTATGCTCAGAATGCGGCCTGCACCTCGCAGATGCAACAATCTTTTACCTCTTGCAACAGGTATCTATCAACCATGATAAATAGACAACACCGTTTCTCTTTTCATTTTGCAAGGAGTTGATATGTCATCTTTAACTGATAGTAACCGTCTCAGTCAGCTATTTTCTCTATTCGTGGCGCCCATATTACGTTCATCCTGACCGCTGAACAGCCGCCACGTATGGGTGAACTGAAAATTCTCCATCAGAAAAAAAGGGAGTGGCGACAAAGCGGATAACCCGATACAATGCGCGTAGCAACGGAAAAATTGAGAACTAAAACAAAACGCTGTGACAGAAAACCACTGGTATTGAAAATATCAGCAACTGGAAATAAATCAGTAGGAATGTATGCATCCACTCAGACGATTTACATTCGGTTCGTTTCCTGTTGTGCAGTGTCACCAATGAAACGCTTCATGAGGGATGCTAAGTAACCAATTGGTCTGCCAATGGCACACTTCTCTTTCAGTGGTTGATCTCCTCAAGAATGATTCCGTGACCAAAATATGATCCACAGATGGAAGAATTGGAACCCTTTTATATTAAAATCCCCAATATGCTCATGTGCGTTTCGCGAATGGAAAAAAGGGAACTGCATATTTCAAGGAATCCGAATAGCACTAGGAAAATATTGGCCATCTTGTCAACTTCACCAATTGTGGTCAGTTACTCCTCGCGAGCTTTTGCCTTCATCCTAATAAACACCTTTTGCGCAACTCACCTAATGGACCACATCAGGACGCAACCGCGATATATGGGAAAGACCTGGGACTTGAAGTGGCGAACTGCATAAGAACTTGTATATGAATTGTTCTGTTCGATATACTGCGGTGGAGTGGTTGGTGCACAAGCTTCCGTAGCTTCATTTCACGTTATCGAAAATGCAACCAAGAATGACATCCGTTACAGAAGGAAACTTTCTAGGACGAACCGGAACTGGTGAGGAAAACCTCACAAGAAAATGACTGTCACAGAAAGAGTCAACGAAATACTTCAAGTGGAGAGGAAGGCTCTCGTTACTAAACTGCTATTCAGATGAGATGCCGCTGAGCTAAGATGTGTGATCTCCATGCCACCAAAGACTGGGCAGTTAGATCAGGGACAATTCACTTAACGCAAGCAACGTTCTATCTTAGACGCCCTTGTGCACTTGGTAAATTCATTTCTGCAATCTTTAGATGAGCATGGTACAGCATTTCGTGTGTTTCCTCAGCCATACTAACGCATTTGATTGTGTCGACAGTGACAGGTATTTGTCTCCACTTTATGGTGCTGGATTGTCCGATACTAACCTCTCTCTACTCCGAAATTACTCTACTGGTATAGCACACCGCACGAAGATTCTTGGAAAAGTATCTGGATTAGGGATTGCTCCAGGGAGGCATGCTGTCCTCTTTTGTTTTCTCTTGCTATATTCGACACTTACCGGCCGACCAGGATGATTTTCTTATCAACTATGTTGAAGGTTTCACTATGGGTCCCGAATTCCAGGATGATTTCCGTTTCTTACAGCTCCAAACCGATTTATATGGCTTAAGCTTATTCTAAATTACCTATTAGCGCTTCTAAATGTGGGAATGTCGAATTCTCGCTAGCCAAAGGAAAATGGCGACATTCTTTTGAAAGAAATTACTACTTACTGTGTCGGTAACCAGTCTGTTCCCCCAGTACGTTCCCTACAATACCCCGGTATTACTGTTTGCCAAGATCTCACCTGGAGTTCACATTTCAAGTTTAATTTTAAAAAGGTTCGACGGCTGTTTCTTTATCTTCCACCTGAGATCTTTATAAGTTCCATTGTAATTACTCACGGGTTTTGTATATTTTTTGTTGCTGATTAACTTATTTACTGCTCTCCAGTTTTGTTTGACGGTCTACGCAATTCTAGGCCGGTCTATTAAAATTAGTTCACACACAAGCGGTATTCCCTATTCACTCTTGCTCAACTTGAACGCCGACAAATTTTACCTATTGCAACAATATTCTACCAGATAGGAATCACCCATTACACACAGAACTTAAGCAATGTTCATCCACTTCCGTAAGCAGGTGTCGTTACAAACGTGTGTATACTCATACCACTGCCTGGCGTTTGTCCGTTATCTCATAGCACAGAAAGCATCTGTCAGAGACAAATTTTAAAAAATCTGTTTCCACATTTTTACACCACCTTCCTCTCTAGTTTCCGATGTTGTATTTTACTTTTCTCTGTGACTGTATGCGTGATAACTGACCCTGGTGTGCAAAGAGCTGAAAGTCGACCTGTCTATAAAATATTTGTGACTTGACACGACCCTCGGGTGGTCAATGGATGGTGGAGATCGAAGCTGGTCTGATGGAGAACATATTGTGACAAAGCCGATGGGTCAATCATGAGCAACCAGAAGTTGCCGTACCGTTGCAGAGTAAAGTCCAATAGAGCGCGAATTAAGAATCACAAAACACTTATGCGGTTACCTGTTTCGAAACAACTTTCAGAGCACCGGCAAAGTCGTGATCTGCGATGAGATCAGTCAATGGTTTCGAGTCACTGCCGCGGGAAGTACCACCAACAGACGATGGTGACGGAACAGGGTTCGGTTTTATTCGATTGCGAAGTTGTGCTCGAAGCGAAGCCGGCAGGTGACCTTGATATTTAATTTCTGCAAAAGGCAAACTCGCTGAGAAAGGAAAAAAGAAGGATGGGCGGGGAAAATGATTAACTTATTTCAGTCCGCCAATAAGCAGGTTGTTTTTGGTTTCCAAGTCACTTGTTTCTGGATTGATTGACTACTCATCAACGAGGCACAGTGCTGCTTAATTAAGTTGCCGGGAGATTTCGCCGTATCTCTTCACAGTTTTCGTTACATGTAAGGTGGTTTGCAGCGAAATGGATAAGGTCTACGAACGACATACTGTTAAGCTTCAGGATTAATCCGAATCCAACTACTAGGCAGTTGCACTTTGTAGGATAAGGCGACTAGCAATGTGCAAACGAGATGTGTGTCCCAAATTACGTAGGAAGGTGAGCACACAGCGAATTAAGCAGTACGCAAACAGCAAATATGTAGCTGGCCCACAAACCAGGGAACAAGCAGGAACGGCCAGCTTGTAGGAAGGCAGGCAGCCAGGCCGGCTCCGACTCACGTCGCACTACATTCGAATGCCGTCAAGCCAGCATTCAAACAGTCAGTCAATCGAACAACCGATCGCTCGGTCGGTCAACCAATTGAGCCACAGGCATGTATGAACACAAATCAGTCAGTTTTAAGCCGAAACGTCGGCAAATGTAACTCTTAAGCGACATCATCATTGTACAGCGTAATACAGTGAAGCGAACTTTCCTGATCCCTGCCAAACTCATAATGCAAACAAGATAAGTGATACTGTGTAAGGAA